ATAATAACAGTAATCCTAATACTGCAGTAAAATTTTTAAAAAATAAAATCAAAACAATCAAACACAGACCTGTATTTGCTCGGATCCAGAAGTCTCTTTTCCTTAACGCAGTCATACACATACTGGGCGCTGAACACGTCACTGGTCACAGAGAAGCTTTTCTCCCCTGTGGGCAAGAGGCGTAATGTGTGTGGCCCCCCCACCTTCGATGTCAACTCTCCTCCGTGATCCTGCCAATGGAGGAAGCAAATATAATTAGATTCCTTCAATCTAATGAACATCATCTGATTCCTGAAAAAGTCGTGTAAAGGGAGTAAATACAATGAAAAAAAGGAAGTATAATATAATGAATATAACAGAATATAATGAAATTTATTCAAATGTATCACTGTGAAATATATTACTGTGAAATTTCACTTTCTGACATTTCCATACCTAACTTCAAATTAAAAGTTACCTAGTACTATAAACACATTCATACGTATCAGTGTTTGTTGATCACATTTCAGTACTCAAGAAAAGATCAACAAATATCATTAGACTGCATATTCTACCATTAAAGAGCTTGTGCTATTACTTAATTTGACATTAATTTGGCTGAGTTATAAATGATACCTATCAGTGATTTTCTGAACACTATATTTTTCTGATAGTTCTTATCCTGTTTCAAACAAAACTAGTATCAATTTCTGTCACAAACAAAGCCTAGCCATGATATCAGCCCCAATAGCTGGGGAGGCCAGAGAAATTGCTGAGTAAAAGTGAAGCACCAAGGTAAATCAATCAATTAATTTGCAACTGCGTTTCACATTCATGGTAGTCAGGAAGCTTCATCCTTTACACACCACTTCAAGACAGGGCTGCTTCCCCTATCCAAACTCCTGCTTGGTCTGCAATATCATTACTGTATATCTTTGGAAGTTTTTTTTTTTAGAAGAATTTGGATAATTTCATATCTAACATGATAATTCCAAAAGGACAGTTTGCAAGTCATCTGGATCCTCCCCATAATTGTTGACAGGAACTGTCACAAAATTAATTGAACAATCTAAGTTGCTTTGACTGGGTGTGCCCTTCAGTCACTGCCTGAGGGGAAAGTTGATGGAGGCCTCTGCCCCCAACACCCCCAGGAAATACAACCTTCACTGCAGTATGCACGGAAAGATAAAGCTGAAACATGTGAACAAGTGGACTGCAACTTTTTGACCTATATAAGAATATCATCTTCGACTTGCCATAGCTTAGTACTTCCATACTGTAAATATCGATCCAAATTCGACAGGCATAACATGTGTGTACATTCCATGCCCACTGTGAGTTTAATTTATTAATTGTTTTCACATATAAATGGCTTTACTTGTACTAAGTCATCAATGAGCCAATTATGAGTACTGTCTCACCTGTTTACCCTTTTACTTGATTTTCAAATATATCTTACATTATTTTATAAGGCTGTTACTAATGTCTATAACATTATAGTAATTATAATGCCTTTGGTCGTCTTCTGTTATGCGTCATAAAAGTTAATTCCAGATTAAGGTTAATCCAGATTCACACTACTTGCACTGAAGATGCAAGATACATTGTCAGGCACACTTGTAAATCAGTAAATCTGCTGTTTTACATGAAAAGGTGAGAATCAGTGTAATGGCAATTAGCATTAACTCCCTACACCTACAAGTTTCATATTATAAGATGATGTCAATAAGGAAACGTTTGCTACAGAGGAAAAAAAATATCTATATATACACATATACGCTAGTATTATATCATGCCGACATATATCTGTCAGTATAAATAAAATTATATAAATGACTCCAAATAGCCTATAGATATTAAAGACAACCGAAATGAAGGTGTCAAACAAAAATGAGATACTCATAATATCAATTTATATTCACGGGAGTCTTCTTTGAGATCTCTTTCTCGAGTGTGATCACGAGGCACAGGTAGGACAGCTTTTTTCAGGGTGTTGTTATCGAGGCTCATGATAACAATTGTCCACGTGTTTTTTAAGTCACTGTAGTTTAAAGAATTATCAAGTTTGTACTTTGAATTTGTTGTTATTAAAAGCTTTCTCTTTTATTTGATTAATATACTGCATAAGTTGGTAATACACAGCAAGATAGAGCTGAAACTTGGGATCACCGAGTGGACTCAGATTGTAAGCATATCTTTCTGCAATCTTTTTCATTCAATTGTGGGATTACTTTTTATGTTTACAGATTACTTCTTGTACCAAAAACTGCATCTTCAATTTGCCCTCTTTTATGTATCCATACTATTAAGATTAACCCTACTTTGTGAAAGAAGCGGTATAACATGAGAGCCTCTTAGAATGTTAGATTCTATTAGTGAGATTCTTCAGTTTCAGTGTTAGCTGTCATTTCCAATAATATACTGCATTGACAGGTGCAGAATATAATAACTAGTACCCATGCCACCATTGTGTATCATGGCCAGCACACCTCAAACGAGATGAAGCAGATATTCTGACTGACTACTCGATATGCAAAACATCATACGAATAACGATGGCATTAGTTACCAAGAGCGACACACCCTCCAGAGACGACGTCCCAAAACCAGGCCATCCTGTGAACCCAAAATTCCAAACCTAACCTTCCCAACCTTCCATTTCTTCCCCTAGACATGGGAGGGAAACGCCTTTTATCAACACTGCCTACCAAACTACAGAAAACGCGACATCAAGAACTGGCTGCATGAGGGGTGTTGCGGCCTCATTCCCTGGTCATTCCTCTCCCCCCCCTCACCTCAATGATCCTCTGCAGCGCGGCCTTGGAGGGACAGACGCGGATGGAAAACAGCATCGGCTGAAGCGACTCCATCACGAACAGCTCTGGCTCCTCTCCCTGTTCGCTCCCCCCCATCATTTCCTCCGGGTTTTCCTTCGCAGACGCTGTCATCTTCCTTCCCTACGGTCGCTTTGTGTGCTCTGAGTCACTGTTACTGCCTGTTATTCATCTTCAACGAGTCTGTCTTGGGTTTTATTTCGCTGTTTCTTCCGTTTCTATGCCTGTGACGACGAGTTGAGTCCGAGCCTTGGACGCGACCAAAACATTTTGTTTACATCGCATTTCTGAGGGATAACGTCTTCCTTTTTTATTATTATTATGGTGTAGTTTTTTATCGATTTTTATATTTGGTTTCATCAGTTTATCTTTTGAATTATTATTTTTTGGGCTGTCTAAGTCTTATCATTCATTTTTTGATGTTTCCCGGGCTTTTAAAATTCGTAAAATACACCTTACTTTTGTTGACTTTTTATTTTTTTTTATTGATATCTTTATTCATTTATTTATTTATGTTTTAGGTACTGTTCCTTATCCTTCTAACAAATCTTCTCACACACAGAACCCAAAGTGAAATTAATATTCAAAATATATCTTTGTTAGAAATGCGATATTGGCGGGAATTTTCAACGAAAAAATTACAATGATGCCAAAGAAAAAAAAAAAAAAAGTTCCGACGCTGTAAAGCAGGATTAAGACACATTAACCAAATAATATAAATGATTAAAGAATATATAAATATATATAAAATGTAATGAAAAAAGACAAATATTTGTGACAAAGACGATAACAATGCACTTCATAATGCTTATATTGTCGTTAATGGTAATAATGAATGCCATAATAACGATTGAAAATGACAGTAATGACGACGATACTAATAATGATAATGAGAGCAACAACAATGATGATAAAGATAATAAAATTGATAATAATGATGACAATAATAACAATAATGATGATGATGATGATGATGATGGTGATAATGAAGATAATAATAATAATGATAATGATAATAATAATAATGATGACAACAGTGACAATACTACTACTACTACTGATTATAATAATGATGATAATAATAATAATGATATTAACAATAATAATGATAATGATAATAATATTAATAATAATGATGATATAAAAAAATGATAATAATAATAATAGTAAATAATAATAGTAATGACAATGATGATAAAATAATAACAACAAGAACAATGATAATGATAATTATGATAACAATGATAATAATTATGACAATAATAATAATAGATGAATATGATAATAAATAACATTTCTTAATGATAATTTTATTGCTACTACCTCTAGAGAGAGTACTGCTACTACTACTAATGATAATAATAATGATTATAGTAACAATGACAAAGGTAAATGTAATAAAGATAAGGACAATAAGGATAATCATTGTATTATTATTAATAATGATAACAATAATGGTAACAACAAAAATAGTAATAATAATAGTGATAATAATAATAATAATAATAATAATAATAATAATAATAATAATAATAATAATAATAATAATAATAATAATAATAATAATAACAATAATAATAATAATAATAATAATAATAATAATAATAATAATAATAATAATAATAATGATAACAATAATGATATTAATAATGATAATAATGATAATAATAATAATAATAATAATAATAATAATAATAATAATAATGATGATGATAATAATACTGATAATAATAATAATGATAATAAAAATAATAAAAATAAAAATAATAATAATAATAATAATAATAATAATATTAATAATAACAATAATAATAATGATAATGATAATAATAATAATGATAATAATAATAATAATAATAATAATAATATTAATAATAATAATAATAATAATAATAATAATAATAATAATAATAATAATAATAATAATAATAATAATAATAATAATAATAATAATAATGATAATAATAATAATAATAATTGTACTACTACTACTACAACTACTACTACTAATAATAATAATGATAATAATAATTGTAATACTACTACTACTACTACTGCTAATAATGATAATAATAATTGTAATACTACTACTACTACTAATAATAATAATGATAATAATAATTGTACTACTACTACTACTACTAACTGCAATAAAAAATAATAGTGGAAATGATAATTCTGATAACAATAATGATATCAATAATAACAATGGTAATTATAACAACAATAATGATAGTAATTATAACAACAATAATAATTGTAATGATTACAAATATTACAACAATGATAATAATGGTAGTGATAATAACAATAATAATAATAATGATAATGATAATAACAATAATGATAATGATAATAATAGAACCTGAGTAGGATTTTGATGCACATTTGTGTGTGTGTGTGTGTGTGTGTGCAATTCTTTAATGTCCATTGTTAGTTATCACCCCATTTTACCCTCCCCCCCCCACAATCCCTTGCTCTGTCTTATCATGGGGGGGGGGGGTTAGGAGACAGGGACTGAGGTAAAATGTAGGGGATGATCCCTTCCTTGGACTTCAGCCCTCACCTCACCTCACCTTTGCATGGTCTTTCCTTTTCCTTCTCTTCTTTTCACCCTTCTTCTGTCCACCTATGCTAATCATTAATTATTGTTTACCCTTTTTGCCACAATACTTTATCCTAGTGCTATATGACTTTTATATGTCTAGCACATTTATTTGTTTTAACCATTAACCACTAACCAGAGAGAGGGAGAGAGAGAGAGAGAGAGAGAGAGAGAGAGAGAGAGAGAGAGAGAGAGAGAGAGAGACAGACAGAGAGAGAGAGACAGAGAGAGAGAGAGAGAGAGAGAGAGAGAGAGAGAGAGAGAGAGAGAGAGAGGAGAGAGAGAGAGAGAGAGAGAGAGAGAGAGAGAGAGAGAGAGAGAGAGAGAGAGAGAGAGAGAGAGAGAGAGAGAGAAAGAGAGAGAAAAGAGAGAGAATCTTCACAAAAATCCTCTCTTACTCATTAACTCTCTTCAAAATTCTTCTTAAAGTTTTCAGTTAAAACCAAAAGTATCAAATATGCTACTTTGTCATGTTATGAAAAAATAATTTGAAGAAAAACAACACAGCATCCAATTCAAGACCAATGAATTACCAAGAATTTTTATAGAGACAATCAGGAAATGTTCTTAATAACAGTTTATTAAACCACAATTATAACCAAGAACCTTCCAGTTTTGGAGTCATGTGATTTTCCTTAGTGGAGTCATATCTTGCTATTTCACTTCTTGAATACTAATATTTCAACTTTAGATTTTTTTTTTTTTATATAAAGATATGACAAAAAAAAAGGATTAAAAAAACACATTGGTTAAATTTGTCCTTTATTTGAAATACATGTCATAAAATGCATGTTCTTTCATTAAACATAATAAGCCTGCTTGGCTAACATATTAAGGCAATGTTAATATAACAATTTGCCCCTCCCTCAAAAAAAAAGAAAAAACAAACAAAAAACATTAAGTAAAAACATGTATAAAGAAAATAATAAACAATTCAAAATTTTCCTTTCATCCAGCAAACAAGCGCATCAACTCACGGAGTATATTAGCTCTGTAGCAATATAAAATGTCTAACTCCAAAAAACAGTTCAAGTTCCACATGCTACACTTTCATCTTATGTGAAGTGGAAGAAAAAAAAATGGATTAAAACAAGTATTAAATGTATAAAAATCACTGAGACCATTCACCTTTATAATCCTTTGTGATCTTTCCAACAAAATGCTTGAACTTATGAAAATATGTCATAGTTTGGTCCAAAAAGTAAATACCAAGTTAGAGTAATATTAGTGATCATAATAAAAAAATATATAATGGATATGAAAGTAATTAAAATTACAATAACAGTAGATAAGACAATGATATTCGCTCTATATATACATAAAGAGAGAAAGAAAAAACTAAATACATACAAGAAATTATATTTGAAACCTGTATTTTCAAAATAACATTAATAATAATAATAAACATAATCACAATAATAATAAATCTGAACAATATAACTATAAACAAAGACATCCTCTCAAAAAAGAGTATTCCCATAAAACGACCTTGGCCTTTCCAGAATGCCCTAAAACCCACGAGTTTGTTACACATCGTCGTATATCTGAAGGACCCCCTGCATGTGCTCGTTGTCTGAGATCTTGGTGGCTCTCTGTCTGCTCTTTTTGACCTTTCTCCGGATGGGCTTGACCTTTGGCCCTGTATCCTGCATGGACTTGATGCCCTGAGGAAGAAAGAATGAATGACAGAAATGTGGAATTTCAAAAATATTTAACAATAATTGATGATGGTAATGGTAGTAATGGCAGTAATAATGAAAAACTTTACAATAACAATAAAACAGGAATACTTCTTTCTTTTTCTCCTACATTTAAATTTGGTGTTTGCTAGGGTTTGTTTGCTTTTGCTCCTTTCTGCATCCATCAGTTAGAAGTATATACATTCTTCCCTTCTTCCCGTCTGTACCATGACTCACTCAGTCTCACTCTCTTCCTCTCTCCTTCATACTCTCACGTTTACACATCACATACTAAGTATTAACACCAGTCTACTGATGTCTTCTCTCTATCTTTCTGCACATCCATGAACTCCTTTATAAATCTGTTTATTTGCAGGCCTGGATACATATAGTTATACCCAACTATTGGTAAAATGTCCTAAGAGCAATATCAATAACAAAAAATAGTTTGCTGTACTCCTCCTCTTTACTCATCCAAAAACCCAACAAATAAACAACGAAAATAACATAAGCAAGAGTAAAAATTTGCTTATTAAGATTCTCCATGACATTAACTAATGATCAGCAATAGTGATGACAGTAGTCTACGCTTTACAGCACGAACCTGTTTGTTAAGATACTCCTCAATGTTGTCATCCTGCAAGCCATCAACTGACGTGTTCCTCCATAGTTGCTGGAACTCCTTCTCCACAGGGAAGTTAATGCCCTTGTCGTGGTAGAAGATGATCTGTTTCTTGTCTGTTTGGCGTGTGATTCGCAGGATCTCAGAGTCCAGCATCTGGTGGTGATGATGATGATGGTAGAAGAGTGGAAAGTATGGGAGAGAAACAGGTGGTTTGGAGGGAAGGAATGGGGACAGTATGGGAAATGGGGAAGGACAGGGTAGAAAATTGGCATTGGTACTGGTTTCTCAGCATTAAAAAAAAAAAAAAAAGTCAATTTACAATTCACAAATGAGAATCTGCTTTATCCTGAGGAACCAACTCTACTTTCCATCCAGATTAATATATACTTCAACCTTCTTCCACAAGCTAAAGGCCCTCACCCTCATGCCTCACCTTCATGGTCTTGTCGCAGTGTGGCAGGGACTCCTGAATATCATCTAGCAACACCCCCCCATGGCCCTTCATGTCATGTTGCCGCAGCAGCTTCAGCATGCTCTTCCGGTCCCTCACTGGCAGCGGCGGCTTGAAGAGATACTTGCCGTCGATCTCTTGGATCTTGGGGTTGTTGGGCAGGGCTTCCGTGATGAGCCACTGGAGTTGGGAGAGATCGGTGGTGAGGGAGGCTTTGCAAGTGCGGACAGCGAGTGCAATTTCAAAGATTTTTTTTTTTATGATTTTCCTAAATGATTTTTTTTTAGTGGGATTATCATTGGTAAATTAATTTTGTGGATGTTAAAAAAAATCTATTTATGGATGAGATTATAAGAAAACAAGATATACATGATTATAATTCATATTTTACTTTATTTAAACTTAAGACACTCAACTTAGATTACATTAAGTAAAATCATAAATAAAAATGATTACTAAATCAAAATCTTATCCACTGCATTGAGCAAAATGTATTCTTCAATGTACTCACTCAAACATTTAAACAAAAACAAGACCAAAATTAAAAGTATAGAAAATAATAAAAATGAAAAGAATTATTAACTGATGATAATGATGATAATGATAATAATAATAATAATAATAATAATAATCATAATCATAATCATAATCATAATAATAATCATAATCATAATAATAATAATAATAATAATAATTATAATAATAATAATAATAATAATCATAATAATAATAATAATAATAATAATAATAATCATAATAATAATAGTAATAATAATGATAATAAAGATTAATAAATCTAAGATTCCTACCATAGCAACAGGTAAACACAATTACATATGACGGTAACAATACAGAAAATAACCTTGAAAATAAATACAATAATACTGCAACCACAAACAGGCACATTCCTACCTGTTTGACTTTAGGCCCAGCATTTAACTGGTTCGTCTCATCAAGAATCTCGTCAAGGCTTAGCGGGTGCGTCTCCCCATCTTGGTGACGCGTTTTCATGTGGCGCACGATCCTCGTCAAGACGCCAAACTTGTACTGGCTCCCACCTGACATAGATTTGTATCTGCCACGGGGAGGGAAACAGCTTCCATAATGAAAATGATACAAGGCAAGAGATTTTGAGTTTTAATTTAATTCAAAATGAGCATGGATCTGGAAATCACTTGGCACAAATAACATCATATCACAGAAAGTAAGTATATGGAAGAAGAAGAAAGAATTCTTACGAGCCAGCATCGTTGGAGGGCGCCGTTTTGGTCACCTTCTTTTTGGGCGGCTCTGGGATGGGGACATCATTTCTGCGCTTCTTGACTTCCACTCTGGAGCAGAAAAAGATTATGAATGTTATTCCTAGGTATACTGAGCATCAAGTTTTGCAAACTGGTTTTGCAGTTGCAATATAGAGCTCAAATTACATGAAAACAACAACTACTACTACTACAGATACAAATGATGATAAAAATGCAAAAATTAACTAAGAAGTCAATTGAGGAAATAATGATTTAAAATTAATTTTTCATTCAACCATTTATTAATTCATTTTCAAGTAGTTATGCAGCAATAACACACACCTCAAGTTACAGGAAACAGCAGCTGTCACTGATAATAAAACAACAATATAAAGTACGAAACATTAGTCTATCACACCAAAACCCTTTACTGACACCCATTTGATACCGAATCTTTACTGATGAAAGCAGTGCTACTTACGAGGGCGTGGCCATAGCCCGCTTCAGGAAGGCATCTCTGTCCCTCATCAACGACCGGTCCATCTTGAATTATGTCTGGAAGAGATGGATTTGTAAAAAATAACGTCCAGCATGTTGCCGCTGAATTTTGTACATTTGATAAAAATATTGAGGTGTATATGCTGCACCTAGTACCATGGGTGATAAATCCTTTTAAGGAGACTATGTGAAAATTATTGTTAAAATGTGGATTTGTGGATTTGTGCGTGCGCGCGTGTGTGTGTGTGTGTGTGTGTGTGTGTGTGTGTGTGTGTGTGTGTGTGTGTGTGTGTGTGTGTGAGAGAGAGAAGGTGAGAGAGTGTGAGAGTGTGAGTGTGTAACTATACACCAATATAAATTATGGTATTTGTAACTGTCAAGAGTAGGACTGCATGAATGGTTAATAGTTTGAAGAAATAAATGTGACATCAAGGGTCAGATAGACTATGGTAATATATTGTATATATATATTAATATGTTGTATAATGCTGTAAGCTAGGATATTAGTCAAAAGGATACAGTGGGAGAGCAAATGGAATACAGTGGGGCTTTGTAAAAGGATGTGGTTAAAGGTATAGGGCAATCAGATCAAATGGAGAGTATGTGTCTGAGGAAAGGAGAGTAACACTGTATGGGAAAACTGTAAGAATTATTGTGAACCAATCAAATGGCAATATGGTAAACAATAGTTGTGGAAAAAGAAGAATCCTGAAAATGAAACAAGGGAACAGGAGATAGTGGTGAAATGTCAGGAAGAATGTCAGGAGGGGAGGGAACCATAGAAGGACACTGTTTTGACTTAAAGGAGTCAGGCGGGCATCTAAGTAGGGGTGGTAAGGATAATGGGGAAGGAAGAGGGATTGGTGGTGCACATGGAGGAAGAGAGGATGGGGTATCTTTTGGTTGAGTGGGAAGAAGAGGGGTAGGGGGAACTTGAGGAGGAGGAGGAGGAAGATCAACAGATACTTTGCATGTAGAGTGACTAAAGGGATGGAAGGGTGGATGAGGGAGTGGATCATTCTCTTGTCTCATGTTTATGAACTTTTGGATATCTTCAAGAGTTTCTGGATGGGAGTTGGGCGGGAGGTCTGAGAAACAAAGGTTTTGCTATGTGGAGGATAGGAGGGAATAGAAGTCCGAGGAGCAGAGGGAGAGGTGGGTGTAGGAGAGGATGTGATAGAAGATGGACTGGAATGTTTGGGTTGTCTGGTGCAAAAGGTAGAGGTAGGAGGGGGAGGGGGGAGGGGGAGGGGGAGAGGCACCGGGGGAAGTGGTAGAGATTGGAGTATCTGGATTTAGAATGGAAAAGGAATTTGACTTGGGGAGAGATGGGTTGGTTCAGGTAGAGAGAAGAGATACTGGAAGAGATGCTGAGATTTCATGAGATGGGGGGAGGGGGGGGGGGGAGCAGAGCGAAGTACAGCTTTCAAATATGTAGAAAGAGAAAAACCTTGTCGGTGCTTCTTGTCTGGCCTCATGTAGAGCGAGGCATAGTTTGAATCTAAGAACTTCTGCCTCATATTTGAGCTTATAGGCATGACAGCTTCTATAAAATACATTTTGGGAGCCACCACAATTGACACATGTGCGTGACTGAGCAGAGCATTTTGGACAGTCATAACCAGGTTGGCACACGGAAGGCAACGGGCCGTGGAGTGACAGTGTTTGGCTGGGTGGCCAAAATGCCAAAATTTCTGACACTGATGGGGAAGAGGTTTAAATGGTCGAACAGGGCAAGACACTCCACCAATATAAACTTCATGGGAGAGGTCACGTCTACGGAAGCTAATCTTGGCAATATTGATGTAGGAATAGTGTAGCACTGGACTGCCACTGCATCTTAGTTGACGAGGCATGCGAGAAAGTCATTTTACAATCTGACCAGTCCCTGTTGTAGACAGGAGAGTTAGTTGATGTCACCTACATTATATCATATAACATTACACATCTATATTTCTCTACCTATTTATTTATAAAGAGATACATCCATAATGGTGAACAATCACCCCCAGTTACTATGTCAGCTTTATAAAATAAGTCACTTGTTATGAATGTTCCTAACATAAATGACTTCTTTGCACTTCCTACACTAGCTTTCAAAATACTTAATAAATAAACTAAGAGTTGAAAAGAACAAGTTAATGTTGATATGGTAAACCCAAGTAACTAATCCCCTCAGTTTATGGGAATAACATGATGTACAAAGTCTGGGGTGGGAAAGTTTCAGTGCCATGTTTTAGCCAATTAATTCATTGTAGTCTGTGCTGACAAACAACTCTACAGTATCATTAATGGCCCTTACAGCTGGAGAGGGAATGAAGAATGCCTGGAAAATTGAGGGGTAAAAATCAAAAAAACAAAAATATGACAAAATCTCGAACAATATGTCTCTATTCACCAGGCGAACTCTCAAGCTGAAAAAAATATATATTCACGATCCCCTCTATATACACATTTAAGGAACGATATCTATTCCATCAACAGCCTATAAAGGGGGAAAAAACACACTGTAAAAACCAACATTACTTTCCTTTTTATCGCAAAACAAGTCACAACTTTCCTTAGAATCTTACACCGAACTCGCTTACTGGACAAATTCGACCGATTCTCTCTTCTCACCTGATTAAAACAACCACTCAAGGAAACAGCTGCAAATTACGATCTTTCTCACCAAAAAATAAGAAAAATAATACCCTTTATAAAGCATTTTAAAAGTAAAATGAATCCCCAAAATTTATAATATGTCAATAAGGCACCAAAGATTGTCTTTTCTATTTTTCGAGTTGGTTTTCCCTCCATGTTTCTAGAAAATAACTATAATTAGGACTGGTAAATCAACTGATGATTTAGCATTGCTCTGAGCGCCATGCAACGCCAGGTGGCTGTTTACACTATATTTTGTACTGCATTTAACTGTAAATAATGATTGAATTGTTGCACAATTTTGATTAGTGGCAAGATTTGGGAACTGAGATCCGTGGCCATCACTGTCCATTTCATGCTGTTTGCCTCATCAGTGTTTTGATAAAAGCCGTCACTCTATGGGAATACCATGATGTTACAAAGTCTGGGGTGGGAAAGTTTCAGTGCCATGTTTTAGCCAATTAATTCATTGTAGTCTGTGCTGACAAACAACTCTACAGTATCATTAATGGCCCTTACAGCTGGAGAGGGAATGAAGAATGCCAGGAATAAAGAAAATCCTCTCCCAAACTCGGCACTCAGCTGCTCCGAGACACCATCATATAAACATGAGGGATCTCGTGTGTATTACTTTTTTTAAAATGCCGTTGAAAAAAAATATATATATAATATATAATATAAAAAAATATATAATATAAAAAATATATAGTATAAAAAATATATAATATAAAGAAATATATAATATAAAAAATATATAATATAAAAAGATATATAATATAAAAAGATATATAACAAAAAAATATATAATAAAAATCTGTGCTTTCATTTCGTTGCTGTTGGTTTATATTGTGTATTATTTGGGTATATACTGAGTCATTTGTGTGTCCAGATTGAAGCAAATATTTAGTTTTTTTTTAAGTTTAAAGAGTTTGGAAAAATCTGGAATTTGCTTTCTATTTATTTAGAGTACCGCATATACATATTATGTATTTTCTTATCACATACAGAGCTTCCAATAACTAAATCCGTGGCACATCATGAGATAAATTATTTTAAAAATCTTAATTATTACAGTAAACATCTACTCACCACAAATGAAATGAAATTTTACCCTTTATAAAGCATTTTAAAAGTAAAATGAATCCCCAAAATTTATAATATGTCAATAAGGCACCAATGATTGTCTTTTCTATTTTTCGAGTTGGTTTTCCCTCCATGTTTCTAGAAAATAACTATAATTAGGACTGATGAATCAACTGATGATTTAGCATTGCTCTGAGTGCCACGCAACGCCAGGTGGCTGTTTACACTATATTTTGTACTGCATTTAACTGTAAATAATTATTGAATTGTTGCACAATTTTGATTAGTGGCAAGATTTGGGAACTGAGATCCGTGGCCATCACTGTCCATTTCATGCTGTTTGCCTCATCAGTGTTTTGATAAAAGCCGTCTACTATATATGGGAATACCATGATGGACAAAAGATATCAAGTCATTTGAACAAATCTGTAGGAAAGATTAAAGGGAGAATTGCAGGGAAGGGTCGAAACTTGAAAGAAGAAGAAGAAGAAAAAAAAACAATGCTTGTTCTCCACGCCTTTTTCTTTTCTTTCCAATTGAACATACGTGCAGGGCCGGTTTAAGGGAGCATTGAGGGCGATTGTACCGGCCCGCCTACAAGAGGAACCCTCAGGCTAAGGGCATCCTTTATTTTTAAAAATGTAATATTTATGAAATTGTTTTATTATTAAAAATATTCAACAATGTGTGTGGAGCCCCCCCCCCCCCTCTTTGAAGAACTTGATAATTTGGTAACAGACGAATACCGAGAGAGAGAAAAAAGTGTGTGTGTGCGTGTGTGTGTGTGTGCGTGTGTGCTTTCCTGTTCTTCCCTTCGTTGTTTTATCTAATCCGATTCTCTGTATCATTCTAATCAGCTGATATTCAATACTTATGTTTACGTATGCTTAGTATTTTTAAAAACTAATAGACAGTGTTTCCACTGAATGACAACCAGCGTCTACGGCAAGAGTTTTTCCTTTGCTGAGATAGGACGGAGTATAGTGGACCTGTGGCTTTCTTTGAGGGAAATAGGCCTCTCCCCTCGTAAATGAAGAAGCACCTGCTGGTTACCTTCCCTGCCCTCCCTCTCTAACAAGTGGCAATACATATAGATCGGTATTAGGTAAAGGATTCAATAAAATGAGCAAAATTCTTCGTTACGAAATCTAGCTCTTGTTTGAGGGTTTCGCGATAGCTTTGCTTGACGGTTTCGTGCGATGGATGGAGGGGGGGAGCACCGTTCATCTTTTTTTATTTATTGTATAAATAATTAATACTGATAATAGTAATTTATCAGTAATTTATATGGTTCACTGTAAAAAGCATTATAGTTATACGAAGGAAAGGCTTCACAGACTCTCTTTGGAAGCTCT